GTACCTACTTCTTCCTGTCTCCCCTCCCCTCCCAGTCTTTTTTTAGAGTGTAGCATCCTGTTGTGTAATGATAATCGCACAATGTTTTGAATCCGTTCTGTATTATTTGGGTATAATGATCAGCACCCTTTTACCGCAGTGTCACCATTCCAGAGTTCATTATTTTGATTTGACTCCCAATTGGTGGATTCCATGGTCTGGTAGTATTTTTATGGAGAGTTCATGGCCACTGTATTCATTGTGCTGAATATTCATAACAGATGTTTCTGTAACAAGTGTGTTTTTAGATCTGGAGAAGTTTATTTATTTATTTTCCCCATGTCAAGGAACACATGGGCCTTTTATCTTTGAGTTATTTTCTTTCTTTATGGAGTTCTTTAGCCCTCTATGGTGGTGTCTGTCTATCTTTTGTATCTTTTCTTTCAGAGTTCGTCTTTTTCCTGGGCGCTCACTGTGATGACCTCATCTTGGTAATTCAGTTTTCAGCAGTGACCATTTAGTTCCGTGTTGTTTCTAAATTACTCATGTGGCCGTCATGCTGTTTTGATGCTCAGTTGGTTTCCTTAGCTCCTTTTTCATCCCATTTTACTGCTTTGTCATTTTGAGACAGGAGGGAAGTGGGCAGGGCACAGCCATTCCAGGATAGACGCAGCAATTAACATCAAAATGGTGGAAGACACAACCCCCAGCTGGCCTTGAGGATTAAGATGGTGGGAGATGTGACTTATAGTAGACCTTGAGCTTCATTACACGCTCACTGTAACATATTAGCATGGTGAATAATGTGCCCACAGGTGCCATTTCAGTCCCAGGGCTAACCACAAAAGGCCAAAGAGTGGGAAATGGTCAGCTTCCTGGAAATCCCAGCCTCTTCCCCAGGGTAGTTAGACTGGTCCTTCCACTTACTAGAATATGAAGCCACCAAGCCCATAAAAACGCAGCACTGCCCCTCACACCCTTTTGCTCCCTCATCTTCGGAGGCAGCCCGCACTCTGTCTGTGGAGAGTGTACCCACTTTTACTCTAACCTGAGCACCCACTCCCCACACCTCGTGGCCTCTCTCTTGCCTTCTGAAACAGCCTACGCTCTATGCAGTACGTAGCTCTCTGAATAAATCTACCTTTACTCAACTGTGGCTCCTCTTGAATTCTCTCCTGCGTGAAGCCCAGGACCCACACTTGGCGGGACACGTCCCAGGGACTCCGTGGAGACCTGGGACACGGCCCTCCTCACGCCCCACATCCGTTTTTCCCGTGTCGGTTTCAGTTTTGAGCTCTTGTTTTATTGGTATTTTCTTATTAGGGCGTTCTGCAGCTGGAAGCAGTTACAAAGGGTGCCGTCTCTCCCTGTGTTATATTTTCTTCTAGGCTGGGCTCTTCTGCCTTCCTTCTGTAAGCCTTTTGTTGTTGTTGTTTTACTGTTTATGTTGTGGTCTTATAATTTTGTTTGATGTTGCAGGTTGTAGTCCCAAGGAAGGAGGCGCTCAGATGCAGGGAAAGTATCCTGGGGATGCTCCTGTGGGGCAGTGAGGGATGCAGGGTTAGGTGGAGAGAGAAGTTGGGCTGTGCCGCAGTCATAAGGAAGCCTGGTCCCAGGGCCCCTGGGCTGGAAGGGCTCTGCAGAGTTGTCCTGCCTCAGGGCGGGGGCCCTGGCCTTTACATCACTGCACAGACCAGTGCTTGGAACACAGGCTGCTCTCGGAGCGGGTGGGGGCTGTAGGCAAGGCAATGTTCTTCAACTGAGGATGCTCTTGGACAACTGGGGAATCAGTGCTTCAGTCCAGAAGCGGGTATCTGGGTGGCACATGCAGCATCCACTAGAGTTAATTTTCTTCTAATGGTGGTACTGTCTAGGCATTCATTTAGTTTTCTCTGATTGGTTAAGTTGGTTCTTTATTCCCTTCTTACCCTATCTGAAATAGGTATGTTTTCCCCGACATACAGTTTGAGGGCTAAGGTTTTTTGGTGTGTGTGTGTATGTGTGTGTGTGTGTGTGTAATATTCTCCCTTTCTTAGCAGCCTGAGAGAATGACCGGGAGCCAGGGAAGGGCTGTGCAGTGAGTGAGCCCGGTGAAGTGATGTGCTGCCTTGTTAAGTATGGTATGAGGTAGGAGTTAAGATCCTGTATCCAGTTACCTAGTGCCATTTGTTGAAACACCATCTTTTCCCTACTGCTCTGCCCTTTCATCTTTTGTCATGAATCAGGTGTCCATATATGAGTGTGTTCGTCCCCATCTCTGTTCCCTTCCATTGTCCTATTGGACTATCATTGTGTAGATACCACAGTTTCTCATTTATTATATCTTTAAAGTGGATCCTGGCATCCAGCAGAGTCATTCCTTCAACTTTGTTTTTCTTCAAGACCATCTTGGAGAATGTTTGCTCTTTACTTTTCCATTTGATGGTAGGATCAGCTTGTCAGTTTCCACCAACTGCCTACTGGTGTTCTTACAGAGATGGAGTTGATTTTAGAGACCAGTTTGTGGATAATGATCCACTACAATATTGATTCTAATCCATGACCTCTATTCAGGGCTTCTTTAGTTTTTTAAATATTAGCTTATAGTTTTCTATGTAGAGATATTTCTTGGAAGTCTTTTATTAGATTTTTATATGGCTGTATTTTAAAAAAAAAAGGAAAAACAGTATAATGAATCTCCATGTAGCCATCATCCTGTTTCAACAGCCTTGTTACATTTATATCCCCCTTCCACTCAGTCCCAACATTTCCCCCCCAGATTATTTTGAAGCAAATTAAAAATACATCATTATATGCATTTCAATATGTATTTCTGAAAGATAAGAAGGCCTTTTTGTTTTAAAGAAACACTATCCCAATATCATTTCATACCTGAAAAAGTAAAAAAAATTCCTTATTACCATAAAATGCCTGGTTAGTGCTATTTGGTGTTTTTTGGATGCTATTGTAAATGGTGTCTTAAAAGTTTTCATGTTCTTTGTGTCTTTCTGGTATATAGACATAGAAATGATTTTTTTTCATATGTTTATCTTGTATCCAGTAACCTTGCTAAAGTTATTGATCAATTCTAATAATTTATCCCCGGATTATTTTGGCTTTCTATGTATACAATTGTGTTGTTTGTTAATATAATGACAGGCTACCTCAAGGAGCAATAGAAGCTTGCTAAGCTTAGTAACGATCAGTTTGAAAAATGAAAAAGAAATGAGCAAATGAAAAGTGAACAGATTGGATGTTTTCACTGTCTAAGACTGAAAAAAAATGTCTAAGACTGTCTAGTAACTCCTGGCATTGTGTGTTGTGTGCCATCATACTGTTTTCAGATTTTATCAGTTGCTAAAATTATTTGTTATTCTGTATTCTTTGTAGTTTCCCATCTCCAATTGTCCTTGGAATTGGACAGGTAAGTGAAAAGAAATTAACCTCTTGATTAGTTGTTAGTACCCATGGTGAAGTTTTGAATGCTTTTGTTTAAGACTGTGGTTTACAAATTTGTTTGGCTGGTGGAGGACCAATGGTACTCAGGGTGAAACAACATTGAAATATTGACACACATTTTATTTCATTTTACAATTTAGGAGTAGTTGTATTTGTAGAAGAAACAGCTACTTATTTTAACTTTCTTAAAAGAATTTAATTACTCTAGAAAAAGGAAGGCAGCAGACTGACCGCCTCCAAGGTGAGGCTCTGAGGAATCAGGGAAATCTATTTTTACATCAAATCACCCAATTTGTAAATGGTGGCAACAGATTCATATTTTCATAAAACTCTCTATGGGCCAAACAAAACATGTTTGCAGTTTCCTCCTTGAGGTGTGTGATGTTTATTCTCATGTGTAAGGATGAAGTTGGATAAATTTTCAGACTAACTCCATTTGACTGTTTATGAAATTTTCCGTTAATATTTTTTGGGAGATAACTAGGTTTATTATTTATTTTTAGAGGAAGCACTGGGGATTGAACCCAGGACCTCATGCATGCCAAGCACGCATTCTACCACTTAAGCTATACCCTACCCCTCTGAAATTTTCCATTAATATTAATTTGTGGCTTGTTTACTTTTTTGGTCATATGCTGGTGATTTCTAGTAGAAACATGGTAACAGGCACCATAAATTTTTTGGTTTTGTTTCCCTTTAGTTGATAGGGAGAAAAACTTAAAATTATGAAAGTTGTATCTGTTAACTAAATTTTAAATTGTAAATCTGAAATTTATGTGCTTAAATATTATTCTGGTTAAACGTTTTGCTAATAAGGTGCTTTATAAGGAAGTAAGGTATGAAAAGTTAAGTCTATAACTAAGATCCTCGTAAGTAAGTCATAAATACATACAACAATTATAATCCAGGGTAGACTCAAGTTACATAAATCCATTGTAAGTGTTAGGTTTCTACACTCATTAGGCTCAAGGTTTAGGAGGATAATCACGTTGGAGGAGTCAGTAAATTTTTGCATCCTAATGTAGAGAAAAGTGAGTGAATTCTACAATTTGCATAGGAAGATGATACTGAAATTTTTTATTTCATAATAATAATCAGGAGTATTTCTGATATACCTGGTGTACCCCAGATTAATAGAATTTGAATGAGACTCTTTGCAATACTGGCTAGATTGAAAAGAAAAATAAATCCCTTTTGGAATGTGTTTTTCTCTTAGTTTGTCTTCTTGGTTATAGAAATATTGGACTTTTCAAAAAGTGTTTTATGTATGGAGTTGGCCCCCCTTTCCCCTTTCCTTATCCTCCCTCCCACTTAATTTATGGGGAAAGGTGATCATATGCTTAGTAAATGGGAGGTGTGGTCCAGGCCTCACCGACTGCAGTCACTCTGGTCAGTTTTGGGGACACTGTTTTTGAGCCCCTTGAAATAACGTGTATATGTGTAAATCAATTTGATATATAGACTACAGTTCTGATGGAATCCATGCAGTGGCAAGAAAAACAATTTTAATATTTCAAGGAATTAATAATTCTTTTGGAACCTAGAAAATGGACTTTTCAGGTACATTTCTTCCTGATGAATCTTTTTTCTTCTGATGACATGTTTGTACCTCAGTCTTTCCAGATACTTTCCTGAAGTTTTTCTCTCCCCTTTTCTTTAGATGGCAGTCACCATAATGATCCTGTATGTATCCAAGCTAAATAAAATAATTCACTTCCCTGATTTTGACAAGAAAATTCCTATAAAGGTACGTGACGAAAAGTACAAATAGCTATGATGGGAGATGTGAAAATACTGTGGAATTACAAATTGAATACAGGTCCATTTCTATACACACTGCTTCCTGCTTAAACTGGATAGAAACTTCTTTTTTAATTTTTTTTTAATTTTGGGGGAGGAAGGTAATTAGGTTTATTTATTTACTTATTTTTAGAGGAAGTACTGGGGATTGAACCCAGGACCTTGTGTATGCCTAGCATGGCTCTACCACTAGAGCTATACCCTCCCCCAGAAACTTCTTAATAAAGATTTTATGTCATTCAGTTATCCATTAATATGACATAGTAAAAGTGTGTGCTTAGCAGTGGACGTTAGATAAATACTGTGTGCCTTCCGAAATGGCAACGTCTTCTAACAGGAATGGGCAAGTTTATTTGATAGAGGGCCAGATAGTATATATTTAGACTTTGTGAGCCCAGCCGTCTCTGTTCCCGCTGTTCAGCTCTGTCACAGTACATGAGAGCATCCGTGGATGCTGCGTATGTAAATGAACCAGTGTAGTGTGCTCTAATGACACTATTTAGATACATAAAACTTGGGCCAGATTTATCTCTTGGGCTCTCCCTGTTTGACGACCCCTGTTTTAAGCTTTCGTTTTTAGCTCGGATTGATAGAAGCTGTGAGTAGAATGAAGAATAAATATAATTTGATGGATGTAGCTTTTTCCCGTGGTGGAATCAGAAACATGAGACCTGCCATTCCTTCCTGGGAATGTGGAATAGAACCAACTTTTATTGAACAGTTACTGGGTGCCAGGCACTTAATTCCTAGAGAAATCCCACACAACGGGGAGTATTGAGTGGGTCATGGTGATTTTTGGATTTAAGGGGATTAAATCACACTGTCAGTTCCTTGAGGGTAAGGACCTCACACAGCTTGTTCACAACCGTCTCTCTAAGGCCTGGAAAAATGCTGGCATCTAGCACTGGGTTAGTCATCAGACTGACTAAGCACATGCTTATGGCATCTGTAACCAGCGACATTCACAAAAAGAGAAAAATAAAATCTTCAAGTATAGGAAAGATACTATTAAACCAAGCATCATAAGAAACCAGAATATTGTTGGGCTTGCCTACACTTAGTTTATGATGTATTATAATTTTTAAACCCTTTAAACATTTGAAAATTATAAAATATGATCTAGACATAGGGGGAAAAGTATCATACATGAATGTATAGCTTATACTCACTGCCTAGGTCATGAGATGGGATCACAAAGTCCTCTTTACCCACTATTCTGACTTTGGTAATAAAAATTGTCTTGCTTTCTTTGTAGGTTTTCTAAATTTGTATGTATCCCTGAATTTTGTAGTTAGTTGCCTATTTTTGAAAGTTATATAAAAGGAATTAAATTCTGTATATTCTTTTGTATCTTGCTTCTTTTACTTAATATTTGATGATAAGATTCATCCATGTGTTCTTTTATTTTTATTGTATAAATACATTACAATTTACTTACCTGTTTTTACTGTTTATGATAATTTGGGTTGTTCCTAGAAAAATTAAAAGTACTGTTCTGAACATACTTACAGTTGGATCTCAGTGCACATGTATTTGTCAGCTAAGGAAGGCTCCCGTAACAAAATACCACAAGCTAGGTGGCTTAACAGAAATTTATTTTCTCACACTTCTGGAGGCATGAAGTGCAAGATCAAGGTGCTGGCTGAGAGGGTTGGGTTCTGATGAGAATTCCCTCCTTGCTACGTAGATGGCCGCCTTCTCCTTGTGACCTCACGTGGCCTTTATATCTGTGCACTCCTGGTGCCTCTTACTCTTCCTATAAGGACACAGGTCCTGTTGGATTAGAACCCCACCCTTATTACCTCATTTAACCTTAATTACCTCCTAAACGGCCCTATCTCCACATGCAGCCACCTGGGGGTTAGGGTTTGAAGATACAAACCTTGAGCGGACACAATTCAGTCCACTGTAGAATACTTTTACTTTTGGTGGGGAAGGGCAGGTAATTAGGTATATCTGTTCATTTGTTTACTTAATGGAGGTGCTGGGGATTGAACCCAGGACCTCATGCCTGCTAAGCATGTGCTCTACCACTTGAGCTATATCCTCCCCGCTCATTTTTTAATGTTCATTCAGATATCCTCTTTTATGAAGTACTTGTTCAAGGCTTTTGCCCATTTTTCTATTGGGTTGATGTCTTTTTCTCACTGATTTGATATGTTTTTATTTTCTTTATTTTGCATTTATCATGTATCCCTTATCATGAAAAGGAATCTTAATTTTAAAATAAATTTTATCAGTCTTTTCCTTAATAATTAATGACTATATTTCTTATTTAGGAAATCCTTCCCTAGTCTGAGGTTATAAAGATAGTTTTGTAGATAAAAGATGTACTGTTTTTCAGAATTTTGTTGTAGATGAACAATGGCAGGGCTGAAAAAATGGAGTTGGGGCTGATTAGCGCATCTGGGGACTAGTCACACATCTCTCTCTTCCAGTAATTTCTGGCCTCTCCATGTGATCAACGATGTAGGCTAGTTTGGCCTTGCTTACAAAATGGCAGGCTCTGGGGAGTCAGAATGATTGCATGATGGCTTAAGTCTTCAAGGATGAGGGTTCTAGAAAGCAAGGTCAAAATTGCATTGCTTTTTATGACTTAGCCTCAGAGGTCACATAGCATCATTTCAACTGTACCCTATTAGTCAAAACAGTCCCATCCAATTTTAAGAGGAAGGGGCATAGACCCTACCTCTGGATGGAAGGGAGTGTCAAAGTCACATTTTAAGAGTATGTGAGAAGGGAGATATTGTTACAGCCATTATCTCTGATGATGGATTTGTCAGTTTCTCTTGGTATTTCTGTCTGTTTTTTGTTTTGTTTTTGTTTTATGTATTTTGAAGCTTATTATTAGGTGCCTAAAATTTTAAATTAGCTAAATCTTTCCGGCGAATTAAAGTGTTTAATTATATGAGATGGACCCCTTCTGTTTTAATTCTTTCAGTGTTGCCCTGGAATTCACAACAGGCATATCTAACTTAGCAAATTGTAAAGCTGAATTAATAAATGTATCCTCCCTTTCAACAATGCAAAGACTCCACTTACCACTTCACTCCCTCTACCTCTCCACCCAACTTATATGCTCTTGCTACTAAGTACTTTAAAACTCTA